AATTACCCAGTTGTGCAGCCCTTACAGCCACCTAAATGCTCATACACACACATACACATACACACACACACACACACACACACACACACACACACACACACTCACACACACACACTCACACACATAAAATCCCAAGACATTTACAAGGAATTTAGCACTGTGACATGCATGAAATATATTACATTGATATGACTATTTTTAAATGGAGTCTGAAAGAAAAGTAAGAATCAGTAACATTTCTCAGTGTGTAAAGATGGTTAACCCCAGGAATGAGGACCTGAGTGTCAGCCCATGGGCCCACGTTGGAGAAAGGAAGCAGTTACTCCTGCAGCTGTCCTCTGACTGAGAAATACACATAGTCACCCACCCAAACAATGAGTAAAAGAAATTGTAACAAACATTTGCAAAATATATATATATAAAAACAATTAACCAGCAGGCAAACAATAATATAATAAAAACATCTGTTAAAGATAAAGAATTACAATCTATTGTTGGAGAGATGGCTCAGCACTTAACCTGGGTCCCATTGTCAGTAACCACATGGTGATTCAGAACCCCGGTACCTCCAGGTCTGCCAATGGAACACCCCATTCTGAACTTTGCAGGCACCAGGCATGAACTTGGTGTAGAAATAAACATTCAGACAAAACACTCATGCATATAAAATAAAATAAATAAATCTGCAGTTTAAAAAAGAATTACCACCTAGTTAGTGGGATTTTCAGCCTTCTAATACTGTAGTGTAGCATTGTCATTTAAAGATGTGTTGGGGCACCTTAATTAGATAATAAGCATAAACCAAGTCAATGATAGGCATAAGCAATATGAGATATTCCTTGTAATAAACACTTATTCTCAAATTACCATTTTTCTTCCAACCAATTCGCAACAATTCCACATGAGAAAATATTTTTAATTTCTACTATATAATTCAGTGTGGCTTTTGTTTGGTTTCACTTTTCCTCTGAATTTATACACCCAAAACAAATAGTAATTTTTCTTATATCGTCTCCCCAAAAAAACATTGTGAAATATAAAGCTCACCCTACTTTCCAAATAAAGCAGATCACACAACAAATTAATATAAATGTTTCTTTTTACTCCCTTACTTTTCTTCCCGTCCCCTTTTCCAGCTCATTCTTTCCCCAACCTTCCATTTCCATCTTTCTCCTGTGGCCTCTCTCCCTTCTTCTCTCTCTCTCACCCTCCCTGTCTCCCTCCATTTCTTCTTATTATTTAGGCCCAAGCATTTGAGTTTCCTCTACTTGAGTAGCTTAACCAATATCTTTCCACTTCTCTTTAAAATTCTTACCACAAATGGTCACTTTATGTTATAGATTATATGTGCTGATACCTGAGAAATTACTCTATTCTATTCAGAAAGAACCATTAATCCTCAGTAAATGTCATCTAACTATCCACACACATTACTCCAAGAGCATTCACTGCTTGGCACACTTGTTTCCAGGTTAAACTTTTGTGGGTCTCTGTCTAGGTTCCTCTTTAAGGGGACTCTAATAATAATAACAATAACAACAACAAAAATCTGCCTAAGATGTATCCAAGTGTCACTATGTGTCTGGCCCAATGGTAGATGCTTAATTTGAAACTTGCTTAAGAATATACAAAAGTTCTACAGTTTTATTTATAGTCTTTATCAGATTCTTTATGTTCTTTTATATGAATGCATTATGCCTGATAAAATTCTTGAAGAAAAATTATATTACTTAGTGGAAAGAATCACCTGTTTTGAAAGCTAAGGATTGCATAATATATAGAAATTTTAGCTCTAAGTGCCTTAATCTGTCAGTTACCTTGAAGAAGAACTTTCAGGATCTTAGGGAAATTATATAATGAGATTAAAAAGTTGGCCTGGTACTCTGTAAATAGACAAGCACCCTGAAATCCATTAAGTGGCCCCCATTTCCTTCACAATGTCACCCTTTTCTACCCTCTAAGTCCAAGGCTCTAAAGACAATTACATTCAAGGTAGATGGGAGCTCAGTGATGGTTGTGCAGATATTTTCTTTGTTAACTGCTCTATTGCAGGTGCCTTTCACAGTGCCTTGTGTGGTTAGGGTTCAGCAGATTTTTATAGAATAATAACCATTGATTCTAAGAGAAAAAAAAAAACACTGTACTCTGTTAAAGTGAATCAATGTGTCAAACTTAAGTTTCGCACATAATTATAGACACAGTATATTGAGTGAAGCAAATTTAAAAATAAACTTGTATGGTTTCCTTTTAGGGGTTCAATGAAAACTTAATTCTATTGACATTTCTGAGGTAACTTGCAACACTCAAGAAAAGAAAAATGTATCCAATTAAGGAAACTGTAAAAGTAAAGGGTAAAGGTTGCTGTGCAGGCTCCAGGATATGTAACACATCAAAATTGGGATTCGCTAGTTTAGCTCCATTGATCTCTAAAAGGAGTGAATATATTTAACAGAAGTTAAATAAATCATTTATTAGCCGTCACCAAGTATTGCTGGGCAAAAGACTTCGCTGTTGAGGAGCTTTCGGTGTGAGGTTGGTGAAATCAGCATCTTCTATCCTAATTACTTAAGGTCTGCCTTTAAGCAGAGGATATCTTTAATAATTCTCAGAACATTTTCAACCTCATAAAATTTTAATTAACAATTAGCATTGTTCATAGATCATCACTATGAACTGCTGCTAATTGCTTAGCACTGCTAAGGAAGCCGAAAACTGATTTGCTATGTTCCTCTATGTCTACATCAGTGGGGTTTTCAGCAAGTTGGGACAAAACAAAAATTAAAACTAGTATATGCCCTAACCCCGCCCCCCCCCACACAGACAAGACAAACATGACATAAATGAAAAAAATGAAGGAGAGTGTTCTGAAATTTTGCTACTCTCCAAAACAAAGATGTGTGGAACTTTCAAGGTGCCTATTACAGATGGATCAGTGAGGTCATGGATATTTGGTTGGGGAATATGGAAGAGAAATGACCCTTGAAGGAACCAGTAATTAAATGAAAACAGGCCAGGCAAAAGGCAGCTGCAAGCTCATGATCCTTTTGCAAGAGGCAGGCTTTGGTTTAAGTAAAATGTGTTAGCTCTGTGGCTGTAGAGCCACAACGTACACCACCACAGACCTAAAAGTGAGAAATTAGTTTGAACTTTGAAAGTGTGGCGGGGTTATAGAGGGGGAAAAAAGGCTCATACAAAAATTTAAATTAAATATCCGGGGAAGTTAGTCATCACTGGAGATTTCAGAGAGAAGTGGTTTAAAGTAATGAGTGTATGTTTGAACACAGTAAAATTGTTTGCTTTTGAGGAGATGAAAATACAGGTCATCTGGGAACAAATTTGAAGGTTATTCTCAAGAGCAGGTTTTTAAATATAGAAATATGACTGAATGTGAGTTTGTTTGAAATAGTGTTATTAGCCATGAGTTTCTACCTACCACCACCAACTTGTTCAGTGATGTGACCTGTGTGCTATGGACTTAGTTCTTACCATCAGCTGTTTCCGCTGCAGCAAGTAGTTTATCACAAGCAAAGAAATAATCAGAAAGGGCTCCAGGTAGTCCACAATGCTGAACATTTACAAAATTAATACTGCTGAAGTAAATTAAGCAAATATTTAATTCCGATTATTCTCATAATTTTAATTGCTGTCTAGGCATAAGGCAAATATGTTTTGGTATTTTTTTTCCCTTTTGGTGACTCCCAGTTTTCTTTCTCTTGTTCAGTTTTTGCTGTTGCTTGTGAAGCAGTGTCTACTCTAGCCCAGGCTAAGCTTTAGTTCCTGGTTTCCTTGTTTCTATTTTTCATGTGCTGTGATTGTAGGAGTTGTCACCGGATAAGTTGAGTCCCTACTTTTAAAATGTTTCATACCTAAGTATTCTTGCCGATACATTTAACATCTTTCAAAAAGGTTGATTCCTACTTTTCAAAGGATTGTTTATCTCTTCACCATTTAATAAAATGTAAAAAATACCAGTTTATAAAAAACACAGAAAACTCCCCTTGTTCCTGAACTGCTTGACTGTTGTTTTCATTAATGAATGAGCTCCACATTTTCAACAACTCAGGATCTACTTTTAAATTATGGGTTAAAGTTTATGCTTTATTTTGCTTTCTGATAGAAAGTAAAAGTAGATATCTGATGATGAAAACTTCCCCTTGAATGCTATGACTCATTTAATTAATTATCAATTTAGTTTCAAAGTGTTTGTTCGAATACTTGCCTTGGTTCTAGGTTTGTTTATCTCTCCTATTTATTGGCATGCATGTTATGAGTGTGTAGCCATACTTATTTTCAGTTTAATGTATTATAAATCTAGAATACAGATAAGGAAATGAAAGTCAGATATGGCCATCAGTTAAAGTGGATTTATGTTTACTTGTGCTTTGAAGTGATTACAAATGACTAGATGTGGCTTTCTTATATTTAGTCAAGAAGGCCATGGAAACAAATATTTCATTTTATTAAAAAATGTTTAAAATTTATTTTCATATGACTTCATAGAAACAACATAGCAAGTCACAATGTAGAAGCGACAATATCTATGCAATGATAGCATTTATTTTAATGACACTGTTTTTCAAGTACTATAATTGATTTTTGTTGATGTCCATTGTATAATTTACATATTTTAATTCATAATATCTTTTTTAATTTCTCATAAGTTTAAACATATCCCCATAAATTTTAATATAAAAATCTGTAATGATTCATATGCCCTAGGAATAGTCAAGATCAGTTGTATCTGCTTACCCATATATGTCTTCTTGTCATTCTTTGCTTTGGGATATATACACAAATGGTGAAAGAATAAAAGACAAATTTTCCATTGGTAACAGTGAGCTTATTTGCTTTATGTTCATCCTAAAAATATGGAGACTAATATCTCTGAATGGTTTATTTTATGAAAGGATAAGATCACCACTCTATTTTTACTCTGAAAATATTTTGAAGGAGAATTTTAACTACTTTTTTCTTGTTCCTCTGTCTCTTGTCCTCTACAGATGGACCTCTGGGTCCCCGAGGATTAGCTGAAGCTACGGAGATGTGCACTCAAGAGTGTCTGGTTTTGGGTCACTCTGATAATTGCTGGATGCCTCCTGGCTTGGGTCCATACCAACACCCAAAGTCTCCTCTGTCAACCTTTGCACCCCAGAAAGAATGGGTCAAGAAAGACAAGCTTGTGAATGGGCACACCCTGACCAGAGCTTGGAAAGAAGACACCAACAGGAACCAGTTCAATGACCGTAAGCAGTATGGCTCCAATGAAGGCCATTTCAACAATGGCAGCCACATGGCAGACATTCCTCTGGCAAATCTGAAGTCCTACAAGCATGCAGGTGGCGCGATTGAGAGTCCTAAGGAGCACCAACTTTAAGATGAAGTTGTATGGGACCTAATACCTTTAGTCTAAATAGACATGCTAATACTGTGTGTTGGAGCTTTATGTATTCAATAGTTCTCTACAACTATGCCCCTTATACTAGGGAACTCATAACTTTGTGTTAGCACCATGGAGGATACAATGCTTTGCAACTTGAGAGAAAATAGTTCTACTAGCCATGTGATGATGTTCTTTACTAGCATTGATTAAACACTCCAGAGATCTCTCCATTGTGCAATTTATTTTTGTTATTGCATTTTATTTGACCCTGGACTGCTGCTATGAACAATAGAATATGCATTTGGAGAGTAAGAAAGTTCCATGGATTAGAGTGACTGACAAAACATATCCAGTTAGAAATTTGTGCTCTTTTTGTCATTGATTTATGCTGGGACCTCTATACTTGACATTATACTTCAAACAGAACTTTAAAGATAAGCATTAAACCTATTGTGCTGTTAACACCCTTAGTGGACACTTGTAAGTCAATCAGTGTTAAAGTATTTGTAAATAGAAGCAAGCTATTATTAACAACTTTTTGTGTACTTATAGCATTCACCTAAAAATGTTGTAGCATAATTCTGTGTTGATGGTTGCTTCTTTCCTTTTTCAATTTCCCTCTTCTTATTTTTGTTGTTTCTTTCAGTGACGTGTTTCTGTGTTAGTAGTCTGTCTTGGCACACATTGTTCTAAGGATCTTAAACATTTGTGTTTTAAAAAGGTTCTGAAATTTTGCTTCTTATATGATAACTTATGAATTTAGAACTCTATAAAAATATAAAGATGTGAGAAAAAATGAAAACTTCAAACAACAATAACAGCAGTCAGTACTTCTGCAAATGCTTGGAAATTCAGAATCTCCTTTCGATATCCTTATTTTCAAAGTAGGCAAAAGTAAAAATCACTTAATTAGTACCATTAAGTGAGAAAGTGATGAGAAAGTGTTATCCATTGAATGTGATATAATATTCTGTACTTGCTACTCTTGCAAAACTAATGTATTAAAATTAGCATATACTGAAGAAAAATCACTACTCAAAAATAGTTTCAATTTGGCAAATGTGTGTCTCCAACTTTGTTGAAATGACAGAGTTTGTGTTGATCCTCATATACAATACTGTTGTTGTAACACAAGTGTTATTAGACCATAGCCACAAAATATTTAATGTGTTGTGCCTTCATGATGTAACAGAACATTCTCCAGGTAGGGTAGTTGGGGAAAATAAAGGGATAAATCTCTAATTATTGCTGTTTAACTGTTTGTTATCATAGTTGGTCAATGCCTGGCAGGTACCAGCATTTTGTCACTTAGGTCAAACCAAGGGAGTGACAGTTAATGTTAATAAGATCTCAGTTGCACGTGCAAACAAATCCAAATTTGAACATTCTTAGGAGGTTTTTGTTAAGGCATGACAGATGATTTAAACAAATAAATAGCATGCAACAAAATGTCTTTATTGAAAGAAGTGAAAGTTATATTAATGCCACGGTTCACCATCAATTTAAAAGTTAAAAAAAAGAAAAAAGTTAAAAAAATTGCTAATCTGATAGTTAATTTGTTCTTACCAAAAATGAAGTTACTTTGTAAATAGCAGTTCACATTTTTCCACAGTATAATGGAAAATAATGGGTAGGGGTGCATTGCTTATTGAAGTACATTTTTGTCGGTTTGTGAGGGGTGTTTGATGACTTTGACAAAATAAATATCTAAACAAATATACTTGTTACTGCTTTGCCAGTTCTACGTTATTTACAATTATTCAGCTCTTGCAATAAATGTTCTGAATTACTGATTGTGTTGTATTGATTCTTGCTCAACATCCAAACTATTTATTTATCTACATTCTAATATTTTAATAAAACTCAAGTTTCACTTATCAATCAAGGAGGACTTGTGGAGGTGCTATACCTATTGACTTAGTGTTTCTATTGTTGTGACAATGCACCATAACCAAAAGTAACTTGGGGAGGAAAGAGTCCAATGATGGCCTTTCAGATCATAGTGCAGCATTGGAGTACTTCAGAACAGAACCTCAAGCAGGACTGGAAGCTGGAGGCAGGAGCTGATGCAGAGGCCATGGAGGAGAGCTGTTTGCTGGCCTACATTCTTACAAAACAGTACCGCCAGTGCAGGGATGACACAAACCATCATGAGCTGGGCCCTTTCCCATTGATCCCTCATTGAGAAAGTGACTTACAGCTGGATCTCATGGAGGCCTTTCCTCAAATGAGGCTCCTTCTTCTCTGATGGCCATAGCTTGTGTCAAGTTGACACACAAAACCAGCCAGTTCACCTGTGTTGTGAAAATATGATTTCAAATTTAAAAAAAAAAAAGTTTTTCAGATGGTCTATGAAATGATTTTCCAAGGAAATTCACAAAGGAAATTAGTTCACCTAACCCATAATTCATAGTTGTGAAATAAGTCAAAAATTGGGCCAGATACATTACTTAGACAGATAGCTCTTTATGATTTGCACGTGTGTGTGTGTGTGTGTGTGTGTGTGTGTGTGTGTGTGTGTGTGTGTTTAGAGTAACTGCATGAAGCAAAGTCTGCCTTTCTCCAAGAGAGGCCATTCTGAAGTTACCACCTTAAACTAAGAAAAACAAACAAAGCTTCATCTACCTCTATTTCCCATTAGGAAAGTAAGCACAGGAATCTACACAAGGAATTCAATGAGACATGTTCAAACATATGCCATGTTTTTACATTTACCACATAACAGTTGATGATATTTGACTCCAGTTGGAGTGGAAGGCTGGATAAAGGAAACAAATCTTTCCTCAGAGCTGGTTTAGGTGCTGTGGATAAGAAACAGGGGTCAGAGACAACATAAATACTTTGGAATATACAATCAGTTGGATGCTCCATCTAACCCAACCCCTGATTACACCAGATTAATCCACTAATTTGAAGCACATAATAATAATTTCTCCTTTCCTTTTCCAGAAAACAGAGTAAATGGATATAAATAACAGGAAACTTTTTGAAGAAAATACTACAACCTGCAAAGTCTATTTCTTTATCCATTTATTTTCTTTTTGACAATCAGGTAAATCATTCTACTCTGCCTTTAGAAGTATGAATAGAACACAATTAAGATTGTTTCCTTTTCATACAAAGCAAGGAAATGCCCTGTCTCTGAACCAATTGGAAGCTTTAGAAAGAAATTCTGTTGTTTTGTCCTGTAATAATTCTTCTAAGATGTGTAATATGACCAACACGTACATAGGCATTCAGTTATATGCTCTGTGAACTTTTTACTTTTTTATTTTTTAAAAAATATTTTCTTCTTCTGCTGGGCAGTGGTAGCACACACCTTTAGTCCCAGCACTTGGGAGGCAAAGGCAGGTGGTTTTCTGTAAGTTCGAGGCCAGCCTGGCTACAGAGTCAGTTCCAGGAAAGGCGCAAAGCTATACAGAGAAACCCTGTCCAAAAAAAAAAAAAAAAAAAAAATTCTGTGTTGGAATACATCCTTACCACAGTTTCCCCATCCTTTATTTCTCTCATCTAGCCCCACACTTTCCCTCTCCCCTGGATCCACTCCCCCTCTTTTTCACTTGAGGAAAGAGGGGCCTCCAACAGACAATAACCAAACAGGATAAAACAAGATATAATAAGAGAAGGCAAAAGCCCTCATATTAAGGCTGGACAAGGCACCCAATAGGAAGAAAAGAGTCCCAAGAGCAGGCAAAATGGTCAGAGACACATCCACTTCCACTGTTAGGAGTCCCACAAAAATATCAAGCTGATAGCCATAACATATGTGCAAAAGACCTGGTGCAGACACATGTAGGCCCTGTGCTAGCTGCTTCAGTCTCTGAGAGCCCACATGAGCCCTGTTTAGTTGTCTCAGTGGACCATGATCTTCTGGTGTCCCTCTCTGACTCCTACAGTCTTTACTCCTCATCTTCCAAGGGGTTCTCCAATGGAAACTTCCATTTAGACTCTCTCTTTCCATAATGTCTGTCTGTAGGTCTCTGCATCCGCTCCCATATGCTGCCAGAGGAAGCCTCTTTGATGATGACTGGACAAGGCACTGATCTATGAGTACAGCAGAATATCATCAGGAAGCCAAAATTCTATTTATTTATTTATTTATTTATTTATTTATTTATTTATTTATTTATTTTTGACAATTGTGTTTGGTTTCATCCTATGTCTCTGGGTTATCCAGTCTATAGTTCTTGGCAGTTGGACTCCCTTTTCTGACATGGACCTCAAGTTAAACCAGACATTGGTTTAACTCTCTCATAAGTTATGCACTACCATTGCCCTAACACATCTTGCAGGAAAGGCAGATTGCAAGTGGAGTGTTTTGTGACTGGATTGGTATCCAGACTTCTCTTTCTATAGCCTGCAGAGTACCTTCCTGTGCCAAACAGATTAGAATATAGGGTGAAGGTTCCAGCTTGACATTTCTATATTTAATGAACTATGTGGATATTGTCCTTGGCAATAAGACCCAGATGTCAGTTTTCTGAGAGTGAGCCTCTGTCCTAGCATCAACTTGGATTGTTTGGTGATCTCCACAGGAGCCCCTTGAGCAACAACTCATCTGAATGCCACCTAGTCTTACTACTAAAAGCCTTATCTGGCTAGAAAAGATAGCCAGTTTAGACTCTGTATCCTCCATTACTAGAAGTCCTGATTAAGGTCACCTACATGGATTCCAGGAAGCTGTCACTGCACTAGGTTACCACACTGCCCCCCAAATGTCCCCCAATTCCAGCTGAATAAACATCACAAACCAAGCTGAAGAATTTACTCACTCAGTAAAATGTTACATTAACAATGACTATTTTTTTCAAGATCATCCATGTTGCTATACTATGTAGACACTGAATGTTAAGAATGATCATTCATCTAGAAATAAAAGTTATTTACATTAACCAAGAGAGAGCATCTATACAACATGGAAAATAATAATCACTTGAGAGTTTCATTAACAAAGGTTACAATGCTATCTTAGCAGTTTTCTGAGTAAGATGTAGAACTAAAGATCATAGGACTAAATGTGACCTAATGCATAATCATGTCTACACATAAAACATAAAATATGCATACAGAGTGGCCATTCATTAATAGCCAACTGGATGGCTTTGCTGCACTCATGCTATTCAGCGAATCTCATTCAGGATCCCATTTTTCTCTTGCTGTAGCTGGGAATGCAGCTGAGGCCCGAAGCTGCTTCAGTATTTATTAAATTGCTGGCGAGAAGCCAAGAGTGACTAATTATTATTAGTGAGGAGTTTTGGCAGTGAGGGATGAAAAGGATGCTTTGTGATCTCAATTTTAATGTGGATGGAGTGTGCTATTTTGTATGAAAGCAAACTACAATATGAAAAGGAAGAATGGAGTTGTAAGCATAAAAATGCCTCATTGTCCTGCTTTGTTTTGGGTAGAGTTCATCTTCTCTCCCTAAAAGAATCTCCTTCCATGGTTCCCAGAGAGAGCACTTTAAAGTTTGCCCAACATTCCTAAAGGCACAGGGATCACATATTAAATTCTCTACATATTTTCTCCTTACACAACTTCTGATTACATACATATATATACATGTATATATATATGTATATACATGTATATATGTGTATATATATATATATATCAGTAATACCAAAAATTCACTTTTCAAACATTAATAAGTAGTCCCGCAATATTAAACTATAATTTTATACTATAAAAATATGCCTGTCATAATTCTTTGTCACTCACATTCAGTTCACTAAAAGTATATATTAATAAATATTCAAATAATAGCAGTTTTTGTTATCTCGATACTACTAACTTCTAGTCTTTAACATTAAACAGTTTATTTTCAGGTTTCTTTATTTTTGCTGTTGTTTTTAGTTCACAGAGTAGCCAGTATCAATTATTTTCATTGGTGAATGTTCAGACCTTAATTCTGACAGGCATCAAGTCAACACACACTACATGCTCAATGATTAAGTGAACAAATAAACATCAGTCCTTTCCAAGTCATTCTGTGGGTGTATCCTGTGAATATGGAATAAGAACAATTTGACCCTACACAGGTAACAGTCCATTTTTCTCTGTTTAACATATTCCTAATAACAATAAATGTAACATTCTTTAAGCTAAGGTCAAAGGAAAACTGTAATAGACTTTATCATTTGTGAATAACTGAAATGCTCCTCTATTCATAGTTTTACTCTTCTGTTCATCTGCAAGTGTGCTTCACCATTGTCAATGGGAAATATGTGCCCCAAGACAGAAAACATAAACTTACATGAGATATTCTATCACTATACGACTGTGTGTTTGTGTGTGTGTGTGTGTGTGTGTGTGTGTGTGTGTGTGTGTATGCCTGTGTGTGTGGATGCAATTACTTTTTCTGGAACTGGATGAATGTTACTGAAGCATGAGCTTTATAAAAAACAGTATCTTGTCACAATATCCAAAGGTTAGAGACTTTGGATTATCTGAATGTGTCATTTTCCTCACTAGAAAATTATACATGTTCAGTTTTTTTTTATTTCTAGAAACCTGATACTTTAAAAAACTGATAAAATTATTTATTTTCACTTTTATCATGTGATTTTTCTTCATAGCAATTGGTCCTATTTACTTTTTACACACTGACCCTTGAACTCTACACACACGTAATAGTATGGTCTTTGATTGCTACTTTGTAGACAAGTGATTGTTCCTTAAAATTTCACAACAAAACATCATATGAGTTTTCTTTACACTCTGTCATTATATACATCACCTTTCCAGTCCTCTAGGCCTGTACCATGGAGTAGTGATTTGTGGCCATCACACCTGT